AGAATGGGGCAAGAGTACACGAGACTCAGCGGCTTGTTCAGCTGCAAGCAAATGATTGCGGAAATCTTTGAAAGAAAGTGAAGTGTCACGAGCAAGAAGCACAGTTTTGATCATGTCATACTCAGAAGAAAGGCCATTCAACACAGCAAGCATCAAATCATCGTCAGAGACAGAAACACCAACGACAGCAAGCTGATCACGGACATGTTTGAGGCGAAGTAAAAACTTCTCAATAGAATCAGCGCCTTTTTGAGCAGTTTGAAGCTCCGTTTTCAAGAGATTCACACGAGCACGAGACACGGTAGCATATCGATCTGTCAAATTCATCCACGCCTCATAGGCAGTCTTAGATCCGATCACGTAGTCGATCGCCTTATCGGAAAGCGTTGCAATCAACAAGCTCAGCAACGCTTTGTCAACCTTCAACCAGTCTTTATAAGCCGCGGTGATTATCGACGTGACGCCTTCCTCATCGAGAATTGCATATTTTGGTGGAGCAACACTGGAGCCATCGAAATGTCCGAAGAGATCATGACCTTCCAACACAGATTCAATCTGATATCGCCATTTCAGATAGTTGCCATCCGTCAAACGAATGGTGAGCATGCCAAGGAGGCCATCAAGCTTGAGAGTTGAAGTCGCCATAAAAAAAAACACAGAGAAACAGAGACGAAGATGAAGAATTGCAGAAAACACAGAAGAATTAGAGGAATCAGATGACAGAAGAAACCAAGAATCAGAGGAATCAGAGAAATCGGATGAGAACGAGAAGAAAAGAATCCAAGAAGGTCAAAGAGAAATCAGAGAAATCAGATTCAGAAACAGAAGCAAGGAAGACTCATATGAGATCTAGAAGACGGCAGAAGCAAAGAAAATCCCAAATCGGTCCATGGTTCTGATACCATGCTAAGTATTCAGGAAAATAGAAGAGAGAGAGAAGAGAGAGAGCTTTGAGAATTCTGAAAATGGTGAGAATCAAATCTATTTTTCTCTATTTCACTATACACGTACAGTAGAGCCTTTATACTTAGGCTTTGCTTAATGGTTAAGCATCTGAGCTAACAACCCCTAACAACCTTCACGTGTTTAACATAACTAATTACAGACACGTGTCACACTAATTCTAATCATTAGCTAAACACTTAGCAAGTTCAGCATCTGGGGTCACTACATAACATTTGTTCTTTCCGTAGGCCGCTTTTATCAGACTTCAATGCTCTGACTTAAGAATGAGAACCTTCCTTCCTGTGATAGGTAAGGCAACTTTGTTTTGGTCCTTCCTTCTTTCATTTTCTAAACCAAGTATCAATAAGAGTAATATTTTCCTGAAACTTGTATGGCTCTTTTATTGTATAGGTTGATAGCCATTTGTGAGGATATATATGCTGCAAGAGCAGAGGGTGAGCTTGGAGTTGAAGAGGTCCTTAATTGGACGCTGGTGAAGATTTACATGTCACCAGACATGCTGCTCGAATACACAAAACCCGACTAGACATGCTACCTCCAGTTGACAAGGACTCAACTAGGTTTAACATTGACATCAGGTTTCACTAACACCCATTATACATATTTAAAGAAATACAAAACAAAATTCTTTCGGCCGCCATGTAAAACTCCGGCAGCCAGAGAAGGATAATCACAGAAGGCATAGTGGTTACATGTGCACATGTTGTATTTCAAGATTATTTTGATTTATCATGTATATTGTTCAATACAAGTTGGAGAAAAGCCATACAACAATATTATATTTTCCAGTAGATTTCTGTTCCTTTTCCTTCAAAAACACAGGATGTAAATGTATCAGTTGGACAAACCATGTCATGTAACCATTGTAATGACTTCACTCGAATACATTGTTGCCTTGCCACCCCTCCCCTACTCAAAAGGTTTGTGAAATGAAATATGCTTAAAATCAATTACCAAAGAAAACAAAAAATACGATGGAAATTCAACCAATGCAACTCTCTACAAGTATCATTTTTCCGAAATCGACCCAAGTTCAATCTATGTGAATAACATTGCGGCTCTCCTCAAATCGTCTTCGTTAGTGAGTGAACAAATAGAAATACAAAGAACACAAGTGCGGCTGGAGCATCAAAATTCCAACATGATATCAGTACGGACAAACAGACATCATTTCCACACAAGGCAAAACCTCCCAAGAAAATTTTCACCGGTGATCCTTCAACATACACTACTCCTACACTGCCCGTCTCCTTCTCATCCTTCAGAGGTCTCACTTTTTTGTAGCTACTACCAGAACCCTTTTTACCGACAATCTCAGGGATAGTGTCTTCCATAACCTTTGGGCTTGCAAAGTCGACATGTGAAGTGGATATGACTTCGTATATAGGATTTTCTTTTAAAAATGATGCTATCTCATTTCGGGTTCTCACTTTTTCCCCTTGGGTGTAATATAATATGCATCCAGTTTGGAATAATATTTTATGGAGGGTAGGGAATTCATCATTTTAGTCTGTTGTTGTAGGGCCTCCCTCTGATGACATTGGCAAGTTATTGCTCCCTGTAACTGGTTCTGCCATGAACGCATGTTTTTTTTTCTTGAGGGAATTGCCTGCCTGGTTGGCAACTGGCATAAACTGAATGAAATAGATTGGGATCAACGTCAGTTGCTTATTTCAAGTGTTTTAATTGCTTTTCTCCGTCAAGAAAGAAATGCACCACATGTGTTCTTCCCTAGACTCGTGCAAGGAAATGAATGCAGAAATTATTCATGAACAATGGCTTTCGGGTGGGCGGGCATGATTTCCTATGAGGAAGTTTTTCAAGGAGTTTAGGCAAGGAATTAGCATCAGGAAGCTATAAGAATATACTATTTTCTGCGGAGGTTTTTGATGATCAGGCAGTGTTCAAAAAATCGGCCTAGGCGGCGACTAGGTGCTAGGCGGCCTAGGCGGTTTGGGCGATTCTGACCTAGAAAAAAATGCCATTTTGTAATCTCCAAGGTCAAGGACGAGATGATGATGGTGGCTCAGATTTTGGGGTGGCGAGATGAGGATTGAAGAAGATGAGAGGTCGCAGGGAGGGGCTGGAGACGACTCATGTTAGACTTGGGCCTCGGCTTCTGTTGATGGGAAAAACAGAAGGAGAGATGGGCTTTCAATTAGGCCTCGTAATAAAACACCAATAAAACCAAATGCCCTATTTAGATATATTATTTTGATTAGGATTGGGCCTCGAAAAATAAAACATTAAATGAATTTTCCATTATGAAATTGTTAAAGCAACCGCTAATAAGTAACATGTAACAAATAAATATTATACAAATGTTTCTCCAAAAAAATATATATATTTATATACAAATAAAAATTCTCAAAAAAAAAAATTATATATATACACACACACACAAATAAACATTTCTCCAAAAAATGTGTATATATTCCTCATGGATAATGCTACACTTACCACATTCTCATATCATCTTATGTGCATATGAGGTGTACAACCACATCAATTAAAAAGTGTCAATAAATCATAAAAGAAAAGAAAATGTTAAATTAATTTTAATTGATGTGGCTATCCACCTCACCTGCCACATAAGGTGGTATGAGAATATGGTAAGAGTAGCATTACTCATTACTCATTGTGAAAGGATCATACACAACGATATTTGCTGAATAGTATTCTTCTTCTTGGCACCAGAGCCAAGTTGAGGAAAGAAATGAAATCCCTTAAGCGAATCCAATATACCACTATCGCACACCCCGTTGTAGTATCTTGCAGTGTTGAACTAAAGAAGCATGCGGCCGCCGCACCGACCCACGTCGCACATTACCTTTCAACCACATTCTTTGATGGAACCGATAAACATATTTGACTTGAATCAAAAGGCATTTGCTACCAAACAGAATGGAAAATCCCTAACGAATTATTTTGGGGAACAAATTGTCATTTTTCAGGATTTGGATCACTGTGATAAGGTGGTTCTTGTGACCGTGATATCTAAGGCACATGTAATTCCTATCATTTTCTAAGTTCTAGATGAATGATATCCAAACAACATAATTTTGAATTAAGAAACTTTAAATAACGGAGTTTTAAAATTCCATCATTTCAAAATTTCTATAAAAACTGAGATTACTTCATCCAAACAAACTAAAGTTGAAATAAATATTAAAAACCCCAGGAATTCCAAAAGGAATTTTTTTTTAAAAATACAAAATTCCCAAAAACTACCTCAAAAACAAAAAAAATGTTGTTTTTGTCTATTAAAAAGCCCTTAGATCACTGCAAAGCCTTTGGCTCGTGACGCCTAGTGACAAACCCAAATCTGAGCTCGAAGCTCAAATATGCATTTTGTTTGATTTACCCTTGTGAGCGTCCCTCAAGCTCATCTTCGATGGCTTCCGTCATCTATTCTACAACAGCCCTCAATCCCAATTCAATCTGGATTATGGCATGTCTGCATCATCCATATTTTTCTAAACAATAATTACATAGTAAAATGCTTTTATGTTATATATGATATAAACTTTTAATTGACTTTTCTGCAATTGGTTCTGATCTCGCCCTGGCTTCCTGTGAGAGGCTCGATGTTTCCCATATTGATCATGGCCTTGGCAAAGTGCTTGAAGAATGCAAAGGTGTTGTTTGCATATATTTTAACCAGTTTATCTGCAGAAGAAGTTCCATTGAAGAGCTCTTGGTCTGAATGAAGAAGACCCTTTACTTTGAGCAAATTCTTGTAATACAAGTTATCAAAATGTGTTGGGGTCTGGAGGTCAAGATTTGCAAGGTTGTCATCGTTTCCGCTTCTTGGGCAACTGCCCTGCAATGACTTGGCAAAGGCGGCGTCGATGGTGGACTCATTGTGGATGCGTGACCGGAATGATGTGCATCTTGCCAGGCCAATGGTGTGTGAACCTGCCAATGCCATAAACAACTCAAATGAGCCTGAGCAAACCCTTGTTCTGTTTGCTTTAATATTTGGCATTCATTTTCAGCTATGATTTAATGTCGAAAGATTGAATTTTTATAACCTGAAAGAGCGACCAAGTCTCTTAACGAGAGATTTTGTGCTGCAAAGTTTGAAATGAGACTGCTTATATTGGAAGTGGGTGGAGGGATGGAGGTGTTGGCAGCACTTCTGCTAGCAGTTGTAGAATCTCTTCTTCCCAAGCGAACTTTCCATGAAGGGCCTCCTAACTGTGAATCAAATGCCAATGAAGAAGATAATGACCACGTTATGTGGAAATTCGAGTTTCTGGAGGAAGAAATTAAGATGGTTTTCTTACATAAACTACAGAGTCACGTGCAGCCAGAGCTAGAAGATCAGCACATGACACCACTCCGGGGCATGCCTTCTCAAGCTTGGCTTTGATGTGATCAACAACTTCAAATCCTCTGATGGAGTTGTTGTTAGGAGCTGCGGTTTTCTCACCTACAAAGCTTGATGTATCGTCCAACAGCACCGACGCATCGCAGCCCTGAAATTTGTCAAAGAAATTAAGCCAAACCCTTTTGTTAAGAAAGGCAGAATGAGCAGAATGCAAGTGAAGCTATATATATATATATATATATATATTAATATTAGTGGTGACTCACATTTACAAAGCAATCATGGAAATGAAGGCGGAGCAAGGAAGCTCCGATGCGTGTTTCGTTTTTTATGGCTGCTACAACTTCTTCTTGCACAATGGACAGTGCTTTTGGGCATTTAGATGAGTAGAATTTTGGAGTGAGCTTGCCTTTGGTTTCAAGAAATGTACCAGCAAAGACCAAGAAAAGCAGAAGCAAGCTGTAATTTGAAACCATGTTAAACACTTCTCTCTTGCAGTAGGCTAGTCTTAGAAGACACATTATATATAAAAGACATTGCATGCCTAAGAGTCACACAAGTCGGAATCAGAGTTTGATAAAGGCATACAATCTAGTGGAAAAAGGCATTCAATTATTGGTTACAATGGGACTACAGGTAAAAGCTAAATCGATCAGAATTCAGACATTTGGTTTTGCCACTTTCATTGTCAAGAAACAATTATCAGATCATTGCGTGTCCAGATCCAAGATTCACTTTTGCTTTTACACACTTTCCTTTTCTTGTCCTAGCTTTTATGTCCAATCCCGCCTAAAACATTGCTATCAATTCATCACTATTTTGTCTAAACACATAAACTTTTAATAACACATCGAACGACGCATTAGTTTGACTCATTTCTGAATGTGTGGTGTGGTCCAATTTCATAATTTGACAACATAATAATTCATTGCGAAGGAAGATTATTCATACTTTATATATATAAATTATATGTAAAGTGAAAACATATATTAAAGAGAATGAGAAGAATCTGAGAGAATTGAAGAAAAACATTTTGTTTTCTATTTCTGTTTCTTGCTAAAGTAATCAACTACCAGCTTACATGATTCTTATGTATTGTTACATTGTAATCTTCTCGACTAGGCAATCTAACTAACACAACAAATCACGACATGACACTTGTCATCTTATAATAGGTACAATGCCTTTATATAAAGAAGCATTTTCCAACCCGTTATTTAACCTATTTGCTTTATTATTGTACTTACTTTCCACGTTAGTCTAATTATATATGTCGTTTTGCTCAAGGGAAGAGCCCCCTTGCAGATTGAAATGTACCTCTGGTTCTAGGGGCTCGCATTAGAAATAGAGTTTTTCTTTTTTGCAGGCCAGTGCCAAGTTTGTCACGACGTACGTACTAGATAAATTAGTTGCCTTCAACCAATCGTTCTTTAACCAGTGTTCAAAAAGATGTCCATTTTCATGCCATTATCTCAATCAACCCCACCAAGTTGCAGCATCTTTTGCCCATGCTTTATATGAGTTTATTCTAATTCTAATAATTCTTAGTTTTGGAGACTCTAAATTTTAGGGCCCACAATTGCGAGGGCCCAAGCTCATGCTTATAAATAAAAGGATGAGCGTAACTTTCGGAACTCAATTCAATCTTAACCGTTGATCCAATTATTGGCATCAACAAATATAATTGTTGTTCTACAAATTTGGGAGAGGGGGGTTTTTCACATACAAACTATCAATGTACTATGGGGGTTCGAGTATGAGACAACTTATCTGCAAATCAAAGCTCTCTCCACTGATCCATATCGCGTTGACAATTTTACAGCTAGACCGTTACAAAGGAACCACAGTTCAAGTACCCAGCCCAACTTGCACAAGTTGAAGCATGCCAACTTGGCCCAATTCTGATTTATTTGTTTGGACCTTTCGTTTGGCACCATAAGAGAAGTGAGATGTATATCGTAACTCATTCACGAGCTTGGCTTAATGGCACGTTACCTAGGCCCAGTTGTTCTTTTGGTCCTAACCTAAACAAAAAACCCATATGCCAATTGCCGAAAGTAGAAAAGTCGCAGATGATGGCCGTGTTCATAGTCTCATTTAAGGTCTTTTTTTTATTTTCTTTGTTTGCCAGAATTGAAAGTTAAGAAGGGTCTAGAATCATTTTGGCTTCAGTGGTCACTAAACTCGAGAGCTTTTATTTCTTGTTTCGTTTGTTTTTCATTCGTTGTGTGTCGTGTGATTGGTTTCCAACGACTGGTTCGTGTACTCTTATGGTGCTGCACCATTCATGTATGTATATGCTCAAAGTTGACCTATATCATTCCTGCTTTGACCCCTTTTTTTGTGTGCTCATTTTCTGGTTCCTATAGTCTAGACTCTAGCTCGCTACTTTACCATTTTACTAGACGATTGAGTACTAAATAAAGATTCTGAATTCATGAGACTCAATGTATATGTTAAATTATAATTTTTTTTAATACAAGCGATGGAGATTCGAACCTAAACATCTGGTATGCAAGCTAAGGCCCTTTTCCACTAGGCTAGACCTGTTGACTCAAATTACGTTCTTTAGTTGTGAAAGAGTGTGTGTGCAAGGCATTGAATAAGTACCATTTTCCCTCTATTATTACTATTATTATTGTTACATTTAAATGCATTTCCTATTTGGGGTTATTGAATTCAATCTTATTTAATTAAATTTAAATCCTGTGGTTATGATGAGTTCAAGTTCACAGAAGTTTTTCTCTGTGTGTCCGTACGTTTTGAATTGCATGAATAATGCATGATGTGGATCCCAAAATGGCTGGACATGCAGCTGTTGCTGTAGGGAACCCAATTCCAAAGAAGTTGATTGTCCTTGTTGGAGTGGGAACAGCGATGTTTGATCAGTTTCAATAGTTTTCTTCAATTGGGTTGCCCTATTATCGTGACTACTCTTTGCAAGTTGCTATGTTGCATGCACCGCAACTTGGCAACTCATCATTGTCACCCATAAATTGACACTTCAATAAAAGAAATTAAATAATTTCGAAAATAAAAAACTCATAGCTAGCCACTTCAATTCATCTTTCATACTATCTATGTTATGTTTGTTGCTAATGTGATAGTTATAGGCCTTTCCCCCACAAGTAGGGAACCTGGTTTTGGCAACTTAATTTGAAGTTCGAATTTCAATGTGGCTATAGTTAGGAGTACAATTACAGTATATGTATCAAATTTATATATCAGCCAGACATGAGTAGCTAAGAGCTCTAGCTATAGGCTCATCAACAACATGAAATTTTTCCTTGAAAACAACCGTATATATGGTTTCAAACTTACATGAAATCATGTCTGTTGCGAATGCCCTCTGAAAATTTGAGTTATTCGAAGGGCTATATGCAGACCTTTTGCGAAGGCAATTCGGGATGTCGAAAATGTTTTCGTCACTGATGACTATTTTCGTTGCAGTGAACATGTTAAAATGGTGGGGTTAAGGGATGTTAAAAGCTTAGTACTGTTTTTGATTCTGGCCACAACGTCAATAAGAGGGCATCCAATTACATGATTTAGCTTATAGAGCTAATGGCATCTTGGGGTGTGACTAGGTTTGACTAGCTAGCTAAGGTTACTGTTGCTGTTGCTGTTTACCCTCAATGCCATGCAACAACCAATTAAACTTAGCATTATCCCATTTTCCAATCCTCCAGTTCACATTGCAAACTTAAAATGCTATTCTTGGAATCTTGTCAAAATTTTCCTGCCCATAAATCATGATAATTGATGGGTCCCGATGGAATTTTAAAGAAGAGTGAAGGAAAAGCAATCGTATATGATCATTTGGAGTTGAAAGAGGAAAAAAGATAGACTAAAGCGATGGTCTGTCGCCTCTGCTAGGATATTAATTAATGTGACTCTTTGAAGGTCAATTTTCACAGACTAGCTAGCTCTGCATTTTCTTTCATTTCAAAGATAAGGGTCATGACATATATATGGTGGGAGATCATTAATAGTGTTCCTCTTCCTATGGTTAACAATTTTCAATTTTATACATAATCTCAGGAGTCATAAATAACGTTAAAGATCGAGCATATAATACGTGAATAATCAACAGTTGATAACCACCTACAATTGAGTAGGCGACTATTGCTATATCACGAGTTAACCTCACATATAGGTAACACATAGAATCAAGTAGTACATGGTAACATGGACCATGACAGATATGGTGCTGTCTGAATGATGAAGCATGCAATAAAGTGTGGGATACAAAACCAAACAAACTCTTGTGGGGGTAGGGGGGGGTTGGACGGCTCAATTAAAACCTTCACTTGGGTGTTATTTGGACAGGTGAATTGTAATGCTCACAAGGCTGTGTTAAGTATATATCCATGGATGTATATAGTACGTGCATTGATCTCAAAGGCGGTGCAAGAATATTCTCCCTCTCATTTCTTGTCGTCAAGATTACAAAAAGATCCTCATCGATATCAAAAAGTGTAACTTAGAAACCATGAACTTCTCAAGTCATGGCCACTCAGCTAAGCTTATATATTTTTCTAGTATTTCATAACATATTTGCAAGAATTCACATCGCGAGGAAAAGGATGTGTACGTATGTTTCCTTGTTATCTAGGAGTCTAGAAATTGAAGTGTTCGAGCCATTCGTTAAAGCAACAACAATTGTACAATGAAAAGAAATGCATTCAATGTGAAATGAATTAATTGATTGAATGGTATTTATATATACTTTGACGAAGCTGGAATCATGATAGTGGAATCAATTACACTGTACAAGTTATCATGTACAGGTAGGTCCACGTGCCGTCCAGCTTAATTATCCCAAGGTTCACACATGCAACAATTTCGAATAGGATCTCGTAGGGGCCGGCCATAAATAAATTGATGGTGGTTGTGATAATATAAAAGAGGGTAGAGAGTAGAGAATAGATTCGGAATTTAGGTCCAACATTAGCTGCATGAAGTTATCTTTAAGGGCATAGTTCAAGTGGATTCAATTTCCTTATTTTCCAATATTGCTTGGATAAGAGCAAAATATTATCTTCCCACATGTCAGTACGTGAGTGTAAATACATCGATATCATATCTGACATTGAAGTCAGAAATACTTGTATTACCTTACCCTAGGGAGGCCTCCCTTGAAAAAAAAATTTGGTAACCAAGTATAATTGGGAAATGAGGCAATGAGCTCTATCTCCTTTTTGGAGAGAGAGAGAGAGAGGAGATTTTTGTGTATTATTAAAAAAAGAGTGGAAGAAAAACAAATTTACTATAATCTTTTTTTTTATAATTATTATATATATATTTTATCAACTACAATAAACTCCCCAAACTATATATGGAGATCATTACAAACTCATCCCAATCTTTAAAGACCTGTTTGACCAGTACCCCAACTTTATGGAACCTTTCAAAATACACCATCCATTAGTGAATCTGTCAGTTTTTCCTTTCAATGATTCAATTAGGTTAATTG